TTAAATAAGTCACTAAAAATTATAAAGTCACACTTAAATATAATCTCAAATAAAAAAAAATTATTACTTTATTTATAAGAAAATTTTAATTTATAAAAAAAGTTATCACAACAATATATTTTTTAAAAAATATATTATAAAATATTTTATTATTCCTACTTTAATAATTTTTTTCAATCCATCACTGTTAGAGATCATTAGCATAAATACTTGAATGATTAGTGTAGGTTTATTCTTATTTTCATTAGCAGGATCCATGCATTTGAATGAAATCCTATGAGGTATGAATTCTCCATTATAAAAATTAAAAAAAAAAAAAACGAATAACATAATCATATAATGGGTGTCTACTTCTTGAAACCTCGGAGATAGCTTTGTCCCAAGTTTTGTTGACTTCTTCATCTATTTATAAAGTGTATTTAATTAATTTAGCTAAAATAATAGAGCGATATTTTTTTGGGAAGGGGTGCAGTTCCAAAATTAAGTGCAAAGTGTGTGTAGGCCACTAGCACATGACGGCGCAAGGAATTGATAGGTTTATTGCATTATCAAATGTTCATTTAGTCTGTGCAGTGTAGCTCAACCCCCACCTCGAGGATGGTTTCCATTACTTTTTTAGGAAGAGAAAATGAGGTCTCAAAAATGAAAAAATAAAAACTATATTGACAATTTCCTTTCTCCTACTATAATTGAAATTTAAAATTTTACATTTATATTGATATGTAAATATTTTTTATAATTATATTTAGTTTCTATTTTTAATTGATCCATTAAATATATTTAATGATTAAAAAAATATAAAAAAAATAAAAAAATAATTTAATATTTTTTCTTACACAAATTATTAACATCTTCACATTTTTTCCATAATTATTCACGTTAACATTTTTTTTTTTTATCTTTTAAAAATTCTAACAAATTGGTAATCTTTTTATAATCTTGATAACTATTCATTACTTACCTCATTATTTTTATTTTATTTTTATTTTAATTTTTAAAAATAATTAAGAGACACAGCATATTTCCCTTACTTATAAAAGAAAATAGTAATAATCTATTTAACGTACTCATTTTAATACAATAGAATGTAACTTTAAATATATAAGTTAAATTTATTTTATAAAATTAGGGTTCAAGTTTTAGTTATTATTTATCATAAGTTTTTTTCTAGACTTAACTTATTAATTTAAAGGTCTGATTTAACTTATTAACTTATTTAAAAGTCTATTTTATATTAATAATATTAAATAGGTTAATAAACTTAGTTTAAAATAGGTCAAATTTTTAAATACGTAAGTAAGTCTTCTTTTAATTTGTATAATAAAAATAGTTTATTTTATTATTATTATTAAAAATTAAAATTTAAAATAAATATAAAAAAGTAATGTAAGAGAGATAACTCATGTACATTAATGTACATTCACATATAATTTAATAAAATAAAATAATCTTATCCAAAAATAATTTAAAATATTTTTTATATCTCATTTGAAATATTATACAATTAGATTTTCTATTTCCTATTTCTTAATTAGAATCTAAAATATTTAATTAAGTGTAATGAAAATGTTAAAAATATTAGTAATTTAATTTTTTGTATTTCAATTATTTAATTATATTATTAATAATGTAATATTTATAGCCAATTAGTCTAGTGATTGGGTAAGGAGTGGTTGGGATAGTTAGAAAAATGAAGATATAGATTCAATTCTCATTGTGACTATCTTTGTAATCTTTTTTATCTTTACAAAATAAAAATAATATAATATACATATTATTTTTATTATACTATATATATAAATAAATTAACTTATTAGATTTAATAGACTTTTTTTATAAGCTTAAACTGAACATTTTTAAATAAATAGATTTTTTTTTAAATCTAAACTAGAGTTCTTTATTAAATAGGTTAGGTCAAATCATAGGTCTCTTATTTAAGATCTGACTTGTTTTCATCTTTATGTGTCATAAAATGTGTTATTAACACTTATCTTTTACATACAAAATAAGAAGAATAATAAATGTATCACTTTTTATACAATATTACTAAATTAGTCTATTATTTCAATAAATACATTATTTTTAATTGTGATAGTTAAATAATTTATAAAGAAATAATTTAAAAATAATAATTAATATTACATTAAAAGATAAAAATAATATTTTTTTAACATTTTCAAAATGATAAAATTGGAGTTATTATGAGATAAATGAAGTAATTTTTTTTACATAAAATAAATAATAATTATATGACTAATACAGTAAAAGAAATAAAATCAGATTCTTCCCCCTCTCCGCAACTCAAATTTGGCCAGCATATCCGGCGCTGAGTGTAGGTTTTAAATTTAAATTTCATATACTTTTGACATAATTTAGTGTTTAATATATGTTTAGATTTTGATTTGCTGTAACTAGTGGGATAGAGAAATTTCTTATCTCTATATTTTATTTTAAAAAATTAAAATTAAAATTAAATGATAAAAATAGTTAAATAAGTAATTAATTTTTTTATTCAATTGGTATTATAATTCATTTTTAAGTCTAAAATTTTTAGATTAGATAAAAATATTAATTTTTAAATATTAAAAATATATAATGATATACTAAATGTGAAAATCAAAATAAGAATTCGTTTTATATATTAGTCTAAATTTGGATAATTACTTTGTTATAAGATAATTAACCACTTAATAAATAATATTTTTGTTAATTTATGAAAATTTTTCATATTTTAATGTTCATTAATTATTTTTAAATATATTATAATACACATATATTAAAAAACACAAGTTTTATTTATTATTTTTAGTAAAATAAAAAATAATCTTTCCTATCTATTTTCTTTGTTATTTCAAGGACAAAAAGAGGTATTTTGTACCTCTCCATTTAAAAAATAATAATGAATGATTATTTAAACTATGGGAGTTTGAAAATTGAATATTGTTAAAGTATTAAAAAAAAAATAGATAAAATATAATGAAAAATTGAATAGGAAAGTGATTTAGAATAATTATAAGAATAAATAGTCTAAAATTTGTGTAGACTAAAAAAATATATTCTCTTTATTAATATTATAGATTATTTTGTCATAAAATCTATTGGAATAATAGTCTTTTAATGATGTTACATTCAATTATGTAGAAGACGTGTCATTGTCCTTCCAAGGTATGTAGGCTTTCTTGCCTTCCTTTTTAAACTTTTTCTTTTTCATAACATGCTTCCTTTGTAAAGTTGGACATTCAAAACGAGTGATGTGGGAAGTGAGTTACTCATCTTGCTTGTTTTCCTTGATGAAGAATTTGTTTCCATTTGATTCCTTTTGAGAAATTTTCAAACTCTCATAAAAAGGTTGAAACCCTCGTCATCCTTTTCATCACCACTAGACACTTTGGACTCTACCATTAGCGTTGGGACAACTTGTAGAGTAAAATTTTTCTTTTAACTTTAGAATTTCCTCTCTTGTTACTAATTGAGACAACTTAGTGTGTCATTCAAGTAAATTACTAAAAACAATACAATTGAATCAAAGTTGTAAAATCATAAGACTCACTAATAGTTGCAACCTTTGGTTACTAAGACTTATTCAAATGCTTCAAGATTTTCACATTTAGTTTATCTTTATAAAAAAATTTGCCAAGACCAATAAAATTATTTACTATATGTGAAAAACATTTTTTACAATTCAGTTATGATTTCTCTTTCCTCCATTTGAAACATTGTATATTGCTTGATAAGAGTATGTTTTCTTCATTTTTGGACTTCAAAGTTGAAAGCTTAAACTTTTCTTGTGTCATGTTCCTTAAATAACTATTTGCCAAATATCACATTGAGCTCTTGACCTTTAAGCATACCTATAAAATATTTTGAAATGGCATTAAGATACCCATTTTATGGCAAGTTCTTTGAGGTTAGTTACAATAATTTCCCTTGGAATTCGTTTGTATTTTCCATCAAGAACACCAAACTTTCTAATGATACACCTCATTATAGTATGAGCTTTCTTACAATAATAATGACGAGTAAT